AATTTTCATGCTTTAAGGATACAGATACCTTCAAACAAATAACACTTTGTGCTTGATTCGTACAAGTTTTAATAGTTGATTTAACAAAGTTCGATGCGTATTTCATTGAAATCGTACGTCATTGATACCAAATTTCCAACTTTGCTTAAAATATACATAGTATTTCTTGGTCAAGTACCTAACAATTTTAAAATATCATGTTTTAGTATAGACTCGATACATGCTTTAGTTTTCGTAATACAACTATATTTTATGACCAAATATTTAAACGCTGTAACCGGTGCACCATTTTAAGTAATTCATAACGTGAAGTATTGTTTATTTTCAAAAGAGATCAAATAATTTTTACATTCTCTACTCTTTTAGTCGTACGATTAGTAATAAATATTGAAAACTTAAAAGGTGATAAAAATAAAATATTGTACTTTTGTAAAATGAAAATATATTAATTAGAAAAAATTTATTAACTTTTGTAAACACAGTTGAATAGTTACTTTAAAAAGGCGTAAAAATTTTCTAATAAAACCGGAATTGTCTATATACATCTTTTGCATAATCGTTAAAAAAAAAAAGGCGATGAATCGTACTGCATTAAGCATTAGTCATTAATCGCATACAACAGATACGAATCCAATTAGAATGCATTTATTACTACCATAAAGGAAAACAATTATCAATGCGAACTCAACGAGATATCGCATTATTTAATAATTGACCGTCACGTTCCATTGATCACAGCATTAGAAAAAGAAGATTGAATACAACAGAAGATCCGCATGACACAATGTCACATTGTGTAAAAATACGCAATCCTATACAGTGTCATTAAAACTATAGACGAAGCTAAGAACATAATTAATAGGGAAACATCGTGATTAGAAACGAAACAAAGTTTTGTGAATATATACTATACAGGTGTTTAGGCATGCAGTAGTTTTTGAAATAATATAAGTTACTAGCCTATTTTAAAATGCATACAAATCTGTATATCTATGTCTATACATCAATCTGTAAATTTTTAGAAACAGTAGCAAAAATTTTTGTCGAACTCAATATTCGAAGAGGTTTTTTTTATACGATAAATGGATTATTGCTGTAGGTCGACCCCTCTCCCGCGCTGCGCACGATCACAAAGAAGCGTTCTTTCAAATTTTTGCATTTCTATATAGATTTTTTCATCCTTTTCCTTAGTGCATTTTCTAATGCTTCTGTTTTTATCATCCTACAATTATTATTGCACGTCTAAAATCTTGTGAAACAAAGTGAACACGAACAGGAAACTAAATCATCGTAGCACAAATTAAATGATTAAATACAAGAGCAAAATAAATAAAAAAATAATATACGACATACATAACAGACTTTTTGATGCAAACAGTTTCTATTTGATCCGATCATCAATAATAGTACTCTATTTATAACACATCTGTATAATAGCATAATAATTTAACATTACATATATTTATTTGTTATCAATGTGAAGTAAATTTGCGCCAAAAATACTATTTCTGAACTTATTTTTGTATTTGAAAAATTAATTGTACGATGTAATACAGTAGTATAACAATGTATTGTAATATATGTAATTGTACAAGTCATATTTTCAAGTATTTAAAAAATACAGATCATATTTTTGGTGTTACTCACTTCGTGATTTTCAAGACAAATATTCTGTCTAAATTCTACTGCAATTTACAAAGTTTTTTATAATGTTGATGTAATTTATGTCGGTTAGAATATCCAGCATCAAGTATGTAACTCCTGCAATCCTATTTTTGCTAAATAGCTTTATTAACTACTTTTCAAAATTTATATTTTATATTGCTAAGTTTATATTTTTAATGCATTCGCATAAACAATCCAAGCATCGAATTCTTCATTTATCCCATATACATATATCGAGCGATTTAATCACCGAATCATTAAACGAAGTATTTATGTTATTACATCTGGATAAAGAATACATACGATCATTTAGTGAACAGCTTTGTAAGCTTCAGTATATTCTAGCCAGATTCTATGATCAATTGTTACGAATAGGTAATTTTTTTTTTTTAATCCAGCCGTAAAGGGTATCCACTTGCAAAGGGTAGTTCATTCTAAAAACGGTCTTGTTTTAGTTATTGTACGCGTTAATCAGGATGTTCCTCCAGTAACACCATTGTGTGTGAAAGAAGATGAAGGTAAACGGCGTGGGAAATTCGGAAATTTCCGGCAAAGAAGAAGCGCGAAACGTAGGACAAAATCATGCGACATAATGGATCACGTACGGTGACATGTAGCAGGTAGAGGCGTCGCGGACGTCCATGATCAAAGGCCGGCCCGAACGGGAAATTATAATTAATTAAGGTAATTGGAAATTAGCGACCGATCTTGCCGGTACTAATGGCGCGCCCTACTCTCCTCTTAATTGAGTTAGCAGCCGCTTTTGAGGAGCCCCTGTATCGCTGATAGCTGGCCCTAATCGTATTCCTACAGGGGACTCGATAGAACAGGGACTAATAGCGTCATCGTCGTCGACGTCGTCGCCGTCGCCGTTGTCATCGTCGTCGATGAGTCTAGTCTTCAAAGTCGTTCCGTATTGCTTCCTCGAGTTGTTGTTAGAACGTTTGAAAAAGGAAGTCACGTTATGTAACATGGAAAGGAAGTCCGATTTATGACAGGAAAATGCGAAACACGTTACCAAACTAAGCAACGTGTACGATAAGCTTTACGATTTTCAAAGTTTTGTGACTAGTTGCATAATCGTTGCATGTTCTTCAAGCACTGTAAGCTTCGTACAAGAAAGGCAACGAAATTTGAAGAGACTACTCTTCTTGAGTAGCAATAGAAAATGTCCCAACAATTTTTCGGATAAAACTACGCTGTTTATGACTCTTTTCGTTATATTTACTTAAGGCTATAAATATGAAATATAATTGTTTAAAATTTCTTAGCAAAAATTTATCACTTTTTAAAATTGTAAACAAGCCAATACGTTAAACGAATTGTTGTTCGTTGTTAAAGGTTTAATTTTTTTCTTAGGAAGAAGAAAATGACGATTAATGATAACCGCTTAAAATACCTTCAGTGAAGTTAATCATAATTATTATTTACTACATTTCTGCTTCAACATAAGTTATTACTGTTTTCACTTTGACGTACAATTATAACAGTAATCACTTTTAAATAATGTTCAAAATAGTAGAAATGTGTTAGTCGAATAGAGGTTTGCAAAAATTGAGAAGATAAAAGAACTTTGACACTAAACGAAAACGGTGGTAAAATTTACCTACGTGTGCTTGGTAAACAATATCGCCAAAATAAAATGACATACTTGATTCTGTAAAACAGGACACCAACTGTATAATTTTGTTTGAACATCTTTTCTCGAAGAATATACGTACACATTGCACAACCGCGTCGGAAGTGACGAGTAATGTCAAGTTCATTGAACAAGATGATACAGTTTAACCAAACTGCTAAATCGAAAACACGATGATAACTCGAGCAAGAATTAAATCTACATGGACGATGCAATTTCCCGAGTCTGTACGTGACTCTTAAATTGCTCTTTCGCTTTAATTTGGGCCAATTTCAAGTCCTGCAGTCGCTTTCGCGGATAAGAAGCCTGAAGTAAAATCTAAATCTTGGGGTCATTTTCCACGAGGTAAATGCCAATTAGCCAACCGGTTAACGCGGTATTGCCTCGCTGCCAGAGTGCATTACTTGATGCATCCCCTATTGCAGCTACGAAATAACTTCTGATAACGTTATCAGATACAGGTTGATAAAATTGCAGAATGTTCGAACAGAGGAATGCACAATCAATGCATTCTAAAAATAACCAATATGTACGACTTATAATATATGTTATACATACATAGAAACTTGGTATATTTCATAAACTTTATACTATTCAATGGGATTATATGGGTTAATTTCATGAAAAAGCGTAATTTAAAGTGAAATCATAATTTATCACAAAGTTCCAAGTACGTTTAAGAAATGTAACGAACATTGATAAATGTGAATTTCACAATATAGTAGAATATAAATATTAATAAATTTGATAGTTTACCGTGATTTATATTTGATGTAACATTTAATACGTTTAAAATTGCTAATATCGCAGTGCTATACTTTATAATGGTACATACAAGATAAACAATTTGCAAGTGGGGCCACTACCAAACCATCTACCTTGTTAACAGTTATTATATGCTGTATATTTAAATGTAATACTTTGCATGACAGTAGACTAGACTTAAACGATTGTCTTTTACAGACACTTTCAAAGCAGATGTTCGAAAGGTATTATACGCTAGTAAAATAGCGTGAAATATTGCTCTAATGCGTATGAAACAGCTTCGTTGCATAATCACTAAGATAAGAAATTCTTATTCATACTTGTTAAAATCAAGCTAATGAAATTCATCAACTCACACATGCATTATTCTCGTGGATGTTATTGAAATCTTTTGAATAATTTCGTAAAGGATAATTTCCAATAAAACTTGAATTTAAACAAGAATTACATAAACTAAAATAGATCATAAACATTATGCTATCACTTTCTTAATCTTCTGTTGAGATTTCAAATATACGTAAATGAATAATCTCCAGATTGAAAGAAAGGAAAGGTAAAAGAACCGTTCCATTTAGGAATAATTATGCAATTTTTCAATCAGTATTGCACAATATTTCAAATTGTGATGAAACGTACAAAACATTGTTCCATTCTGTACAATGATAAGCAGGGGACGAAAATCCTTTCTATTTATGATAGAATATTACAATAAGTAGTTCTTTGTCTAAAGTTTAGGGTTTAGAGAGTTAAAAACATCAAGAATTTCTTTTCTTATATTACTGAAACTTTAACGCGAGTAAAGTATGCCCACAAGAAGGTTTTCCTTAGAAACAGCTACACACCGTTCTTTTTTAAACATTTAATGAACAATTCTGAATAATGCTATAACTAACAGAGTAGGAAGCATTGAAAACATGTGCAATGTACTCACCACCGCCATTCTTGTAACATAGATAGGGAAATCTCCAGACATTAGCAAGGTCGACAGCAAATCCGATGACAGACAGAAGGAAATCAACTTTGCCGGACCAGGTTTCCCGGCCATCAGCGTTGTCGTCCAACTTTGGATGATTTTTTACCACCCTCGACGACATGTTTCGTTTTCCTACAATACTCAGCTTGATCAATTAATATCACCTTCCTAACAGAATTTTATCAGAATTAATTATAAGCAAGATTTCATGATTTTACATTTATTTATCACAATGACGATAGCAGAAACTTGGAAGTTTTAGACTTAGAAAATTTACATAATTATAATCACACAAAATGTTCTGTATAGACTTACAGGACGAACCATCCGAGACAAATTAGATATATATTTTACTTAACTGAACACAGCAAAAGATGATGGTGAAAAAAAGTTGCATCGGTGTAACAAAGTTGCCATACTAAAGTCTCCTTTTTTTTTCGTTTATAGAACAGTGCTGTGCAGGATACAATTGCATTTTCGTTTAATATAAGGACATGCTCTTTTCTTTTTCAAAAATTTCACAGAAGGTGATCAGAGAGAATGGTAAAAATGGAATTGTTAAAATACTTGAAATTTTTTAATAAAGAGTTAACGCTAGTAGAATTTACGATAAAAGTTAATGAAAACATACACAGCACTGTCAGTACACTTCACGATTACTGTTTAATTTCGCTACGAATTTCGAAATAAGTACAGTCGACAAGTTTGCATATCTCAAGAACAAAAAGAAACCGGCGAAAAATTCAACACGTGTATTACTTAGGAATCTACCCTTTACAATATATGTCAAAAGAAAAATAATCCATGCTGTGTAAGTTTTTATCAACTTTTGCCCAATTTATTGATACATCTCTCGTTACATGTTTAAAGTAATGTATTAACCACTTCTATCTAAATAATCCATACGAATTTATTGTTTGGGCCCTTTCACATTGAAAAATATATGTGCATTGATACGTGCCATACTGTATGATATTCAATTTGCGAATAATTCCATAAAATAATTTTAAACATAAAATATTTCCGAGAAGGGTGATGCTTGAAGGATCGGTAATTATTCGTTGGTCAAGTTATTATACGATTATGTTTTGCAAAAGATCAGATACGATGAGAAGGTGAAGGGGCTAGAAGAAGAGCTGGAGGGTGGGATGGAGGTGATGGTGGCGCGTGCGGGCGCGGTCGTGTGTAATTTGGAGACGACAAGTTATCGATAGCCCTTCAGGCGACAACGTTTAACCACCGAGCGAGGCTCATTGTGCCCTGGTGACGGGTTCTGGACAAACAGCATATATTTCAAAGGCGGCCGCGGTGCCAGCTTCGATGGGACTCACGACAAGGGGTTTTCTGTCACACGCACTGATCCACGCTTGTCTATAGATTGACCCGATTAATTGATATTCGGCAGTTATTGCCAAACGACGATAGAACTCTCTCTCTCTCTCCCTCTCTTTCTGAACAGCTACGACAAAAAACGTTGCTTTCGAATTTACTATTTTTTAAACGAAATAATTTATCGTAAGTCTGATAAGCCTCGTTCTTCTATGCTGACGATGATTAACTTCCCCGTGAGACGATGCACGAATAAAATGTTGTCATTATGACATAACAAAATATCCAAATTGGTGAAATGAAAAAAATCATGTATTATATTTTGTTAAATTTCATTTAGAATTTCATTAGAATTCATTTGCCGAGGCAATTCTCATGTCATCGAATTAGCACTGAAATGATTTGGATAATTTAGCTTTTAATTCGACGTTCTTTTTTCTCTAACAACAAAGTCTTTTTTTTAATGGTGCGTCAATAAACAAACTTTTTAATTTTGTCAATGAACAAACAGAATTTACCTTTCTTGCCTTAATAAGTAGATTTTACAATTGCCATGTACAAAACAAAAGAGATTCTAAAAACAGACACTTAAACTAGACAATTCTAGATTGAAATAAATAGGTATATTGTTTTATAATATTCTACTTTTACTTGAAAATTAGCAGGAAAAATTGTTCATTTTATTTGCGTAATAGAGGATATGAAACGTTTCGTTCGAGTCGTCCAGTTTGATTCAGTAATTGTAAGTACAGTGTCTGACAGAAGGAAGCAAACAGTCAGTACTTATTTATTTATTCAAATTACAATAAATTTCTGATTAATTCAAATAATACTACATTTACTAACTAATAACCGACTTATAGAGAAAAATAAAAACCAGTTTTATGTCGTGGAAGTATATTACAAAAGCAAGTGAACATATATTATGTTAACTGTTTAATATCCACAATGTAGGCCATTTCTTAATGGCATTTTTGTTGCACGATCACGTAAGAAAAACGCGTATTTTCTATATTCTTCGACTTCCAAGGAAACATCCTGAAGTGATAACTACAGGTATCGACGAAATTTTGGTATATTGTAGTACTAAAAACAATATTTAACACATTTCTTTTTTCATCGGCAATCGTCCACATTGAAGGGGTGAAACTAGCCCTGAAAGATGAGGGCAATAGAAATATTTGGTCAAAATTATTTATTATCTTTTATTTTTCAAATTTATCGATGAAAAAATACAAAATTCTTCCTCTTTACACTATTCCTCTACCTCTAGTAGTTTTCGAGATATTAGACTAAATATATTTACTACATCCAACTTTGAGGGCGATTTTCACCCCTTCACTGTGGACAATTGCCGATATAAAAAAATACGTATCGAATATGTTTTTGTGAACTATTATATACCAAAGTGTCGTCAAAAACAGTGATTACCGCTTAGGGATGTTCCCTTATTAAAATCATATCTAGGTTTTTTTCTAGTAAACATTTTAAGTCTGCAATATCTTTGGTCTATTTTCTTCAATCAGCAAAGTTTTTTCGCAATGGACAAAATATTGTGGACGCAATTTTACTAAATATTAATTAAATTCTCGGTTTAAATACTTTATAACTATTTCTGTCGTACGATTTGGAGCATTGTCCTGTTACAGAATGGTCCAGTCTTTATTAATCTTTTTCTCATGCAAAATTATAATTTCTTGAAATAAAGTTGTGCATCAACAGTTCTTTATTTAATATCACGATTTTTCTTATTCCGAAAGCACATCTCTAAACCATAATCCTCTGTTCTATCGATTTTAATATTGGTTTAGCACATCCAAATGTGCATTCCATCATGACTATATTTTAATTTTACATTAATTTTTTAATACTTTACTTGTTCAAGTGTAGGAACTTATTTGCAACACGGTTGTGTTTTTCAGCTCATTCTCAGTCGACATCCTAACCTAACATAGATACATTTTTATTTTTATTTTGTAGCTTTGATACAAGCAAAAATTGGCTCAATAGTGGTATATTTAATATTCTTTCGTCCATTTAAACATCAATAACGTTTCTGTTTTTCTTATTGGATGCGAATATTTTGAAAATGGCTCCTACTGTCTTATTAAAACTGTTTTCAACTTTAATTTAATTAGTATTTTAGTTATTTCACTTGTTAAATGTTCGTTTTAAAACATTTTTCAGTACTGATTATGAAAATTTCAAAACTGCAAAAAACATTCTACTAGAAAAAATAACCTAACCTTAATAGAAAGTGTCCAAATTTTGTAATTTCAAACATACTAGATAAACTCAATGTTACAACGTATTTGAAATAATTAGTACAGAAATATGCTAAAAACACTTGAAAGAGTCAGCATTGCGTTTCCCATTTTCACCAAGAAGTCAGATTTAAACATTACAGATATTCGTGTTTACGATCTTTTGTTGCATATTGTATTCATATTCAGAATATTTTTCTTACAAAAATATTGTTACAACCTCGTAAATTGACATTTATTTCAAAGAAATTTTTAATCAATTTCCTCGTGAGATTTATCATATAACTCTATAGGGCGGTTCAGAACTGCAGATCAATCGAGCCGGGATGATAAACGATGATGCTAGAAACATTCTTTGCTTAATAAACGTGTGTTCAGTCTGACTTTATTTTGAAATAAGAAGGATTTACATTTAAACGATTCCATCCTATATCTACGAGAATACTGTGGTTAAGATTATTAATTACTGCTAAAATTAAAAAATGTAAGAACGAAGAGGTATTATCCTCGTGTCAAAAACCAGCTCTTGAAACCTGCATCTTTAAAGACATATTATTTAAAACTAAAGCACAATTGAATGTATGCATATATTGGGCAGAAATGTTGCTTTTACGATCGCGTACCATTCCCAGCTCAAATGACCTGCAGTTCTGAATCACACTGTACAAATATTACAGATTTCCAGATTGCATTTTATTGCTACATTTACTTGGAGAAGGTATCTTTCATTCTATCATAAGTTGATCTGACTTATTTAAATCCTTGAAACTTTAAATACTGAAAAAATCACTGCAATTAAAGTAGAAAAATGACAAAAACTTGGCACACAAGTAACTCCATAATTGTATTATGCATATTTCCTAGATTCGTAGCTTTTACTTTTTTCGAATTGAAACAGCAAAAGACTGTTTCGTTGAAAAGTTAATTATATCTAGCAAAAAATAATAGCAATCGTTTGCATTAGTTTTAGTCTATATGATTAGTTACATTTCATTAAACGTTTCATAGAATTTACGTGCTGCAAAACTGTAAACGCGTTAAATTTGCTTTGTACGCTCGTAGTTTCACTGTTGGGGTCACGTGATAAAAGGCGAAATGCAATTAGACTCAATCACAAACGTGTAAAGAAACATTGCGAAACAGAACACCGGCCGAGAAAGATTCAGAGAGGAGGATCCTGCCGCGTGTTGCTCGAGATTCAAGCGGTGGCACGTGAACGCGTTCAGGAAATAGAGGGAAAGAATAAAGTGTCGCGTGGAAGAAACAGAACGATCAACTACAGTGGGGATAGGACTTCGTATTCAAGGTAACAAACAAGATCGTGGGACTAATTATCGTGTTATTAAAGAAATTACCCACTAGATGGCCTCAATGGATTACAAAGGTATTCAAAAGTGGTGAATCGGACTGCTCGCGTTGCTATACAACTTGTTGCACCTTTCCTCTAAACTTGCCCCTATTTTCGTGGGTCCTTTGTTATTCTCTTTACTAAACTTACGCTTTCGTATTCAAGCAAAGCTTTTAGGAA